AAGTTCATAACCTGGCAAAAGTAATCGATGGTGTTGGAACCAGGATAGTGGTTACCTTTGGGGGGCAGAAGTGGTTGGAAGAGGGTTTAAGGGGGAAAGGTCTATGCCTTGACCCATTTTGGTTACATAGATTCACTCTGGAAATTCACTGAGCTTTGCACTAATGATCAGTGTGCCTTTCTGTAAAATTCAAAGAGGATAGTTTTATAAATCAGAAAGTGGTAGCCTTTCTTCCTCCAATCCTATTCCCCAGAGGTAGCCATGGATACAAATTGGGTAGTGTCTTTATCCAGTTATAAATATATTTACTGAGCTCTAAATATATTTACTTGCATTTTTCACGTAACAGTGTATCTTGGAGGATGTGGCATATCAGAACTGTGAAGAGCTGCCTCCAATCTTTTATCAGTTACGTTGTATTCCATTGCGGGGAGACCCAGTATAAACAGTCAGCTGTTGACTGTTTTCCATATTAGCCACTTTGAGCAGTGTAGCAGTGTCCATTTTGCACCTGTGTGAGTATTGCAAAGGGATGCATTCTTAGAAGTGGGGTTTCTGAGTTCAAGGATATGAGCATTTTAAATATCCCTTTGAAAACCGCTCCATGTATAACAAAGTGCTTTAGGCGAGACTATAAGAAAATGTGGGAGAGCTAGTGATACCGTTTTCCGCCTCAGGGCCTCTGGGATATTGTGAACTGCAAGATGATATCTGTGTTCCAGGTGAAGGTTGAATCTCAGAGCAGATGCTGCTTCCTCCAGGAAGCCCTCCCTGATTCCCAGACAGGGTCAGAGAATTCTTGGGCTTCCCCAGCTGCCTGAGCTCCCCACGTCTAGCCCTGACCACTCTGGATGATAGATGTGTCTCCCCATACACCCCCCCCGACTTGTCAGTTCCATAAGAGCAGGGCCAAAGCTGTTGAAGTCACCACAGTGTCCCCAGCACCACCCTGCACAAGGTTGGGCACAGAGGATGAACTCGGATGGATGGATGGATGGAATTTATAGGACTAGAGAGAGTGGAGACTCAGAGCGGACGGGACTCAGCTCCCAGGGGCTCAGAGAGGCGGGTAGAGACTTGAGGATTGGGAGGGGGGCTTCCAGAAGGGGACAGGGTCTCAAGGAGAGAGATAGAGACTCAGAGAAGGGTGGCATCTCAGGGATAGGCATGGGAACTCAGAGAGGTGAGTGGGGCTTAGAGAGAGGAGTTAAAGCTGGCGAGGACCACGGATGCTCCGATAGGGGGTGCAAGTTGCAGAAGGCCTGGGAGCTGAGGCGCCAAGGCAGGGTGCGGGCTCGGTAAGTTCCCTCCTTTGTCCTCCTCCTTTTGCAGACAGCGAGACCCAGGCTTGTCTCCTCAAGCTTGACACCTGCTCAGATCTGCAGGGCTGGGGAGGGGCCCAGGGGTTTTGCTGGGTCAGCACTGGACGCCGTTGATCTCTCCCCTACACCTACACTGTTCATCAGAGGGGCATTGGGCTGAAAAGGAGGGTCCTCACCCTCTCTGGGCAGGGATGGAGGGGAGGGGGCGGGAAACCCCAGGGCAGTGTGGATCCTGACCCCTGGTGCCTCTCCTTGCCCAGAATTTCCCGCCCAGGTGACTTTTTGGTCCTGGCTGCACTTTCACGTTTAGATGGGGTTGAATTATCCTGATTCCAGTTGACTCAAGCCCAGTTCGAGGAGAGGGCATGGCCGCCTGGAGGCTCACTGCCTCCCTTCCTCTCATCTGGACCGTGGCCATGGATAGTCGCCTCCCCATCTGGCTTCATCTTTCTCCCCAGTGATGGGGCCGCTCAGCCGCTTCCTGGTTGTGTGACCAGGGTGACCGTCAGAGCCTTGGGGACCTCATCAGTGCACCAGGGAAAATAACACCATCCACCTCACGAGGGTTGCCGGGGATAGGACCAGGCAGTGAGGCACCGGGTACAGTGAGTTAGGAGCACGCTTGTCCTGGCACACAGCGGGGCTGGCAGACAGTGGCCAAGAGCTCTTGGAGTCTATCTGATTGGGGTTCAGATTCCAGCCACTGCCTCTAACATACTGTCCTAACCTTCTGAGCCTGCTTCCTGCCTGACAGAAACAGTCCCTTCTCCCAGGGCCAGGGGGATGGTGCCGTGAGATGTTCTGCATCTCAGACACACTCAGGGAACCCCTTGCACAGAACAGGTACCCAGTAAACAGTTGCCGCCCTGCCCCAATCCCACAGCCAGAAATCACCTCCGTCTGAATCCAAACAGTGAGTGTTTCACAAGCGCTCTCTCTGGGTTAGGATCTGAGCCAAACGCCTCACACACAGCCTCCTCGCTGAGCGCTCCCAGCCCGCTCGCTTGGCAGCGGGGCTGTTGTCAGAGCCTGGGGTGAGCAGGAGGGGTCCCGTCCCTGGCACTCGTTGGATGGTGACTTTAGCTGCACTCCTGCCCCCATCTGGGCCTCTGTCTCCAAATCTGCAGGTTTGTTGAGCGAATCCTCGGGAGCATCAACTGTCAGGAGTCTTTCCCCCATTTTACAAACATGGAAACTGAGGGAGTTCCCTGGTGGTCTAGTGGTTAGGACTCCAGGCTCTCACTGCCGTGGCCTTGGTTCAGTCCTTGGTTGGGGAACGGAGATCCCGCAAGACGTGCAGCGAGGCCAAAAAAAAAAAAAGAAAAAAAAGTGGAAACTGAGGCTCAGGGTAAGGTCAGAGCTTCTCAGGGGACCAAGAAAATATTTGTAATCTAGAAAAAAAGTGGAGCACAACGTTCACAACCAAAAAGTAAAGAACGCCTAAATGTCCGTCAGCGGATACATGGGTAAGTAAAATGTGGTGCGTCCAGACAGTGGAATGTTATCTGCCGATAAAAAGAAATGATATACTGACACGTGCTACAACATGATGAACCTTGAAAATATCATGCAGAGTGAAGGAAGACAGACCCAAAAGATGACTTATTTATTCACAATAGGCAAGATACAGAAACAACCCAAATGTCCAGCAGCAGATGAACGGATAAAGAAAGTGTTGCATAGCCCATACGGCAGAATATTATGCAGCCTTTACAAAGAAGGAAATCCTCCCGTTTGTGACAATATGATTGAACCTGGAAGCCGTTACGTGAAGTGAAATAAGCCTGTCACAAAAGGACAAATTCTGCCTGATGCCACTCACGTGAGGTATTCAAAATACTCAGACTCTGGGGGTGCGGGAGGGATGGATTGGGAGTTTGGGGTTCGCAGGTACAAACTACTATATAAAACAGATAAACAGCAAGGTCCTCCCGTAGAGCGCAGGGAACTCTAGTCAATATCCTGTGATCAACCGTAATGGAAAAGAATATGAAAAAGAAAGTCTATATATGTTTTGCTGTGCAGCAGAAATGAACACAACATTGTAAATCAACTATATACGTCAATAAAAAATAATAAAAAATTAAAATACTCAGATTCGTCAAAGTAGAGAACAGATGGGATGGGATGGGGAAGTCCAAAGATCTGCTGTACAACATTGGGCCAGTAGTTAACACTCCTGTATTGTGTACTTAGAAATGTGTTAAGAGGGTAGATCTTATGTTGTGCTCGTAACGCACACACACACACACACACACACACACACACACACACACACACATACACATACACACAAGACCACGTATTCTGTGATCCCATTTATACGAAATGTCCAGAACAGGCAAATCTACGGAGAGAAAAAGTAGGCCAGTGGTCATCAGGGCCTGAGAGGCATAGAGGGGTTGGGTTGATGGTTAAGGGGTGCAGGGTTTCTTCGCGGGGATGCTGAAAAGTTTCTAAAATTGACTGCAGGGGTGATTGCACTGAATTGTGCACTTCAAATGGATGAATTGTCTGCTGTGTAAATTATGTTTCAATACAGGCATTTTTAAGCGGGGCATCCAAATCTGAAAAGAACCCGGCCAAACCAAGGTGAATACATCTTTAATTAAATACGTACAAAATGTTCATTCCTCAACTCCTCTCTTGTATATCAATGCCATTGAAAGTGTCATTTTAGGACGTTGAGTGAGGTGCATATATCCTCTGGGCATCTCACTTTGTCTTGGGCAAAGAGAGGTTAAGCAGTTCCTCAGAGAGGGACGGGAACCTCAGCCCAGAGAGGGTCAGCTTCCTATCCGGCGTCACACAGCCCTGGGGCTCCAAGAGTCCCGAGTCCCCACCTTCAAACGTGAGTTCAGATGTGCGTGAGGTTTCCAACCGCAGCTTCCACGCTGACCCCTGGCTGCCTCCTCCTTCCGACTTCGCAGGAAAAAAAAAAAAGCCATGCCATGTGCGTGAGGTTTCCAACCGCAGCTTCCACGCTGACCCCTGGCTGCCTCCTCCTTCCGACTTCTCAGTAAAAAAAAAAAAAAAGCCACGCCAGGAAGCATCCATCACAGGCTGTCCAGCTGGGGGGAGGGGCAGGGGTCAGCGAGGAGGCGACCTCAAGGGCTCCGTGGGGACCAGGATCCGGCAGGGCTGGGGGTGAGAGGCTGGAATTTCTCCCACCCTGACATTTTCCTGCGTCAACCCAGGAGGGCGCCCTGGATGCCGCCAGCCCTGCCCCCAACCTCCTTCCTCTCTGGATACAGTTTCCCGGCTAAGGATGAGGGGGGCGGCGGGGGGGGGGCTTGCCAAGGTGGAACCACTAGGCCCAGGAAAGAAGGCACTTTGGGGTTGGCAAAATGAGGGACGCTGGCTCAGAGAGGCCAAGGGCCTGCTGTGGAGTCACGCAGCCTCGGGAACTTGGTGTAAACAGGGCGGCCTGGCTGCTCCTGCATTGCAGGGCCTGCCTCAGCCACCACTGCCCTGCCCAAGAGTTGGACCCTAGCCCGGCCTTGGGCGTGTGAGAAGCCCTTGGCCCTGGTCCCTGCCCCGGGTCCTTCCTCCCCCCCACACACTGGGGACTCAGCCCTTCCTTGTGTTAAATAGAAACCTCTTTATTCTAAGTATCGTATGTTCCTTAATACATTGGATTGAGGCCAGACCTTGAGGTGAGGGGAAAGGGGGGGCCTGGGATATTTCTGTAGAGCCTTCCAAAACACCACCCACCACTCACGGGGCTGGGGAGGTGGTGCTGGGAACGGGCTTCATGGCCTCGGGAAAGTCCTTGCTCCTTCGGGCCACTTTCTCTTCTGTACAGGGAGTTTGCGGGTAGGTGAGGAGACCTCTAGTGATCTTTCCAGCCCAGGGGTCTGTGGCCCCAGACAGGGAGTCAGGGGGACGGTCTGTCAGCAGCAGAGATGGGGGGGCACTGAGGTGGAGCCGGGAGAGTCTCAGTGTTGGGCCCGGGGCCGTGATGGAGATGGAGGCTGAGGCCAGGGCAGGCAGGCCAGCCGGGAGAGGGAGAGGCGGCCCAGGAAGAGAGGGAGGCTGAGGCAGAAAGGCGGCCGGGGCACGGGGATGTCTGCAAAGAAGGCACGGTCCCGGGGGGGCGACAAGGTTCCCCCCTCAGAGAGTTCCAAGTCCCGGGCCACCGCCAGGATCTCGTGGCGGGCGACTGTGTGGTGCAGGCCACGGATGTCCAGGAGGGCTGCCACGTGCTTCCGCCTGGGGGTAGAGGAGGGGACAGGTGCACGGGGTCCTCCAGATACACTCCCAGCCCACCTGTGGGCCCCACCCGGCCGTCTGTTCCAGAACCTGCCTTAGCTCTGGAGCCCCTTTGCTCCCTCTGGATTCCCCCTCCATACCAGTCCCCCTGAGATCCCACCCTCCCATCAGCACCCCTAGATCCCCCTCTTCATACCAGCCCCCCTCCAGAGCTTCCCTTCCAAACACTTCCAAATCCTCCTACTCACAGTGGATTCCAGAACTGTCACCTCCCAACCCAGCACAAGGATATTCCTTCTTGCCGCATCTCAGCTCCTGGTTAAAATAACCTTCCATCTTCACCCCCAACTTGGGTCAGACAGCTCCTGAATTTCCATTCCGGCACCCTTGCACCTGTTTAAGCTCTGGACTCTATAGCAACCCTTAACCTCATTTTCACTTTCATCTCAAACAGCCCCACGGCATCACTCAAATCCAGCCCGGAAGTGCTCACCCACAGCCCTACCCTAACCCTCAGCTCACCCCAACGCCAGGTCTGGAGTCTTCACCGCTGCTGTTCCAGAGCCCTCATCCAAATTCAGCCTTGGAACACTCACTTCACCTCTAACCCATTCCTGGAATTGTTCTCAACTAAAATTCTCCCCCAGAACTGAAAATTCACCTTGGGGACCCTCACTCCAACCAGAAACTCGGTGCTCAAAGCTGGCTCTGTTCCACAACCCTCGCCCCTAAATCCAACACAATGGAAACGTCCCTGCACCCCAATCTCAGATCCCGGATCCAAAACTCAACTCCAGAACCACCATCATATTTCAACTCAAGATCCTGCCCCCAACGTTCATTTCCAGAACTTTCATCTCAGAGTTCTGGGGTCTTCACCACCCCCTTCAATCCAGCTCAGTCTCTTCACCCTCCTGCATCCCAAGTTTGGAATCCCCACAGCTCCAAAACACTCATCCAAAATGGGGCTCAAGAACCTTCCAGCTCAACAGAGATGCAAAACACAGCCCCCAAACTCAGCTTTGGAACCCTTCCTCCCAGCCCAGCTTGAGACCTTTCGAACTCGGCTGCATATCCAAGTTCAGATTCAAGTTCAGAAACCCCAACCCAGCAGGAATGCCGGGACCCTGGCCCCCATGCGACTCCAGGGCTCTGTGCTTTCCCAAGGACATAAGCCCCACACCTGAGAAGCAGAACCGCCCATCCTGAATCAGTTCCAGAATCCTCACCTTCAGCCCCACGTCCTCAACTTCAACCCAGCTGATGCCTCACTCCTGGGTCCTGGGGGATTGTCTCTCTGCATACAGAATGTCTGCCCGACTAGCATCGCAGGACTGCCGCCACCTTATGCAGGTGGCAGTGTTGTGTGGTGGTCAGGTGTACCAGCTTCAGAGCCTGCTGCCTGGGCTCAAGTCCCCACTTCGCTGCCGGCTAGCTGTGACACTGGGGTCAGCTACTTAATTTCCACCTGCCTCGGACGGTGCTAGGCACTCAGAACAGTGCTGCCTTTGACGTGCAAAGATTTTCTCAAATAGCTTATCTTCTAAAATAACTCTTACATGCCGCAGCCTTGCGGCCAAAAAATAAAAAATAAAATAAAATGCTCAAATACTGCCTACAATAAATAAATAAACAAATAAAGTAACAGAGTGGGTAGGTAAGATGCTTTCTGAGGTCTGACATAAGAACTCAATAAGCAAGAATTGGTATTGGTACTGCTGTCACCACGGATGATGATTAATCAGCCCCCAATAATCCTATGAAAAGAGTATTATTGTCCCCATGGATCAGAAGAGGAAACTGGGGCTCAGAGAGGATCACAGAGAAAGGAAATGGTCCATCAGGATCTGAACGGCGCCTGCCACTGTCCCAGTGCGTGTGCGCCCGTGTGCCCGTGCGTGTCCCCGTGTCCCCCGCGGCTCCCCAGCTGGGCCGGCCCTTCCTGCCGCCGGGCGGCCCCGCGCCCCCCTGCCCTGGGCTTCCTGTGACTGCTTGTTTGTTTGCGAGCCCTGGTGGCGGCGGCGGCGGCAGCGACGGCGGCGGCGGCAAGAGAAGGAGGGAAATCGTATTAATAATGCCCTGGTTCCAGCAGGAAACGGCCGTCAGACACGCTCGCCGCCTCCCTCCCTCGCCCACGGGGCAGGAAACGCAGGGACGGATGCCAAGGCTCTCCGGGAGACCTCGGCCTGGCGGCCGCGCGGGCAAAAAGGAACCAAGCCGGCGTGGGGGTGGGGATCTCACCTGATGTCTGGGTAGTCCCGCACCAGCATCCCCACCTCCATCTGGATGCTGGGCGTGTCTTCCAGATGCAGAACTTCGGCCAAACGGGGCACCACGGCGTCCAGCCACGAGGCCTGGGATTCCTGCATGGGAAGACCCCGGGCTCACACTCAACACCCACCCCCTCGAAACCACAGCCTCGAAACCACAACCTCGCCTCGCCTGGCAGTTTTCTCGTCCGTAAAACCGGGCAGAGGGCAGACTGCAGTCAGAGGTTATCTGGAACCTTTGGAAATTTGAAGAAAAATCCATAATATAACCTACTCCCAGTTTTGCAGCAAATTTGGGGCTCGGGGACACCCCTCAAAACCTATTCTAAATTTGCAAAATGTTACCGTTGGGGGAAACTGCATAAGGTATGCCAGCGATCTCTCTGCATTCTTTCTTATAACTGCATGTGACTCCACAATTATCTCCCCCAAAATTAAAAAGAAAATTCCAAGGACTCTAGGTTAGAAACTCCTGGAATAGCGGCTGAGTGAGACCCTTCCCGTCCAGCTCATTACAACTGGGTACAAATAAGATTTGCTGACTTTTAAATGCTTGGATTTGAGAACGCTAAGGTTCTGAGTTTCTCTTGCATTTAGCGACTATCTGTGCTCATAATAATGGCTAATGTTTAGGTCCTAAGCCCTTTTAATGGGACTTATCTAATCCCCACAACAAGGCATAGGGACCATTTTTCTCTTCATTTGTGCCCAGAGCGCTCTCTCTTTCAGTTAGAAAGGCAATTTTGACCCTCAGAGGGCGAAGATCAGAGTGTTACTATTGGCTGCAAATTGGGTGAGGGTCTTATTCTAAGCCCCCGCCCCCGGCTCTCGAGTCTGGGGATTCCCGGAAGCCAAAGTTTTCCGTAGTTTCGGAGCCCCCCGCCCCCGAGGCCGCACTGACCAGCCGTCGGAACAGCCTCTGCAGCTGCGCCGCGTCCTCCCGGAGCCTGCCGGCCACGCGGCTGCGGGTCCGCGCGGAGCCGCAGCGCAGGCGACCGCGGAACAGGGGCCGCACGTACTCGACCAGCGCCCGCCGGTGCAGCTCGGCCACCAGCTCCTGGGGACCCGGGAAGACGCGAGGGGGTGTGAGCCGCCGGTGACCCCCCTCCCCGCTTCCCACCCGCCCGCTCCCGCTCCGGACACCCAACGGGAACCCCTGCCCACCCCCAGCCGCCGGCGGCCCTCCCGGCTCCCAGTGGGTGACCCCTGTCCTGCTCCTCCTAATCAGCTCGCGGACCCTCCCCCACCGGCCCCCAGAGGGTGCCCCATCCCAGCCCTCTCCAATTTCTCCGGAGCTCCACCATCCAGAGGCCCCAACCCCGCCAGCATGCCGCGCTACACCCCGGTATCTGCGGGCACCCTCCGCGCAGACCACAGGTAGAGCGCCACCTATCTCGCCCTGAGAGAGCTTCTCCCCACCTAGAAGGGGTCTCTCCCCTCTGAGCGCTCTAGCTCTGCTCTCCCACCCTCCCCCCACCGGCCCCGGGTCCCCCCCTGCGCCCCTCCCCCGCACAAGCAGATGCACCTGGTAAGGCTCATCTTGCATCCTGCGCAGTGCCAGGGCCTTAGCGCCCAGCGTGCCCACGATGCCATCCAGGGCCTCCGAGCTGCTCAGCCACTTCCTGCGCATCAGCTTGCTGAAGTGCGGCTGGGTGGGACAGAGTGGGCAGAGGGTCACAGTTCGCCTCCCTTCCGCCCTCTTTCTTCATAGATCAATCCAACATTTGTTCCCAAAACGCTGCTCCGAGCTGAACCAGGGCTGCGCAGTGCTGGGGATACAGCAGTGCGGAGACAGTCCAGCCCTGACCTCCTGGGGCTCTCAGTCCAGCCCTGACCTCCTGGAGCTCTCCTCCAGAAGAGGAGACAGACCCGTTCCCCAGACAGTGACCATTCAGAGTGGCCACGGCTGGAAAGAGGGAGCCCAGGGGTTTAGGAAGCCCAGCCTGAGTCAGCATAGAGAGTCAAGGAGGGCTTCCTGGAGGAGGGGGCACCAGAGCTGAGGCCAGGAAGATGGTCACTGTTAGCCAGGTGAGCGGTGGGAGAGGGAGTGGCTCAATCCGAGGGGAAAGCCAGTGTGAAGAAGGTTCAGATTTCAGATGGGCTTGCGTGTCAGAGGACCGGAAAGAAGGTCAGTGTGGCTGGCAAGACCATCTGTATAATTCACGGGCCCAATGCAAAAATGAAAATGGGAGACCCTTTGTTCAAAATGTATTAAGAACTTCAAAACAGAGAGAGCAGAACTTTAAACCAAGCTAGGACCCTTCTAATCAGGGGGATGCGGGGGTGGGGGGCCTGTATGACTGCCCAGTGAAGAGATGGGGCTGGTCAGGTGAACCGAGCAGGGCACACAGGCCTCCTGGGCTTGGGAGGAGCCTCAGATCTCTCTTGAGGGCACTGGGGATCCACAGCAGGTTCTAAGCAGAGGAGGGAGAGGGTCAGCTTTGTGCTTCACCGAGATTGCTGGGAGGGGGCAAGACTGAGGCAGAAATGGGGGGTCTGGAAGGAGGGGAAGGGGTGAGAAGGGATGAGGAGGGGGAAAGGAGAATGCAGGTGGTAGATTCAAAGGATGTAGTAAGTGGCCACCGGTGGAGGGAGGGGAGGGAGGCATCTGGGTCCTGGAGGTGGGATGGGCAGTGGGTCTGTCCCTCAGATGGAGGCTGGGAGCATGAGGTGCCCGGACACCTCTGGGGTTGGTGTCCATGGGGGTCTGAAGCAGATTCCTATCCCACTCAGCCCAGCACCCCCTTCCTGCTTTCTCATCCCATAGTAGCCCAATTTTCTGAACCTCCAAAATTGAGGCCTGTGGGCTTTTGTTGGAAAGCAGGTGTGAATCAACTGAGCTGACGCTCTTGGTACCGCACTCAGCTCAGGACGTGTCGCTGTTGCTATAAACTCTGTACATTTATGAAGTTCCCTAACGGCCAGTACCCGAGGGCCAGGACCCAAGCTAAGTACTTTATGGCCACAAGCCCTTTGCCTCCTCACAGCCATCTGAGAAGCCTGGAATTCCTGGGTCCATTTTCCAGATGAGCAAACATAGACCCCCAAGAGGAAAGCCATTTGCCTAAGTCCCCCTACCTGGAAGCCGTACAGCCAGGCCTGGAACAAAGACTGTACCCCCTTCCCCCCAACACTCACTTTCATTCCCATGCTTGTCCATTTAGTCATTCAACAAACACTGTCTGAACCCTGCCTGTGGCCCAGCCCTGGGTGGATCACGGGGGATACATTAGAGAACGCTTGGAGACACAACACAAAAGGAGATAAACAAAACTCTTATAAGCGCTCGCTCGGGGGCCTCTGAATTCTGATCTGATATTTGACGATACTAAGGAATGATTGTTCCATCTGTTAGGTAGGAAAACGGCATTGCGGTTACATTTGTTTAAAAAGGCTGGGTTCCTTATCTTTCGGAGATACAAGCTAAAGTGCTGATGGATGACGATAGGATGCCGAAGATGTGCTTGAAAAGAATCCAGTGGGCAGGAGAGGTGGGGGGAGAGGTGGAGTTGATACTTGCTGGAGCTGGTCCACAAGAGGTCATTCTGTCATTCTGCCTACTTTTGTGTATGTTTGAAATTTTCCATAATAGAAAAGTTATTTTAGAAACATTCCAACAAATCCTTGCCCTTGAGAAGCTGACATTCCAATGGGAGGAGACAGATTGGGAAAAAAAAAAAAAAAAAAGCAAAGGATATAGCATGGCAGGTGGTGATAAGTGCTTTGGAGACAAATAGAGTGAAGGGGGGGGCATGTGGGAATCTCAGGGGCTTCTATTTTAAACAGGGCA